AAACTACAATTCATACAATTTAGATGAAACGCACTAGCGAAAACATCATGAGGATTATTCTACATTAAATTTCTGCCAATAGTTCCCTTATACCTAAATCTTACACACTGGACCTTTAAATGCCACATTATCATTTAAGACAGAATTTTACTGAATGAAGGTAATGGTTTAAAACTATTCTTTATGAGCAGCGAAAGACAAACACTTGTGCTTTCACAATGCACAAGCATTATATCAATTCATACTGGACTTTTGTAGTATTGTGATTATTATTGGTATTGTTTTATCGCCTAGCCCTTGTAAATCACGTTAAGATGAGTTAGAAACTTAAGCTCAATCAACCACGCTCATTGACCAAGCCATAATAACTTTTTGCAGACATATATATTTGTAGGGCAGAAGAATGTGAAATACAGAAATGCTTAACTAAGTTAGAAATATTCTCTTTATTATATAGTTAGTTCAACAGAGGTTTGACATAGGCCTATTTATTTTTACACAGAAAAATGTCCAGCCCACATTGTGCATCTTAGTCACAATTCTTTTAAAATACAAGTCTGTGTTGTTGTTTTTTAAATTTAGGCAGTACATTGTCATCAGATCTTTCTTAAACTTCCAAATATCAAGATCAGTTCTTATTAACAGATAACAGTATTGGACATTTATGTGTAAACACCAGACACCTGCTTTGACATATTGGTGTAATATTAGGCAATGTTGGGAGAAAACAGATTTATATACAACAATCAACAATCGATCATCTTCCAACTAACCCCTCAAATTATTGATTCATTATTTGGCCTATAATTCATCCAAATGATGAAAAATGTACATTTGGCAGACATTTTGCCATGTCACAGTTATTATGAAAATTAATGATGGCTGAATTCCATTTGCTGCTTCAGTTTCAGGGTCCTGGTATTTTGCCTGCTAACTTAGTGTTGTAATGCCTATGCTCTTCTTTGCACAGATAAAATGACATGTTTGAATGTGTGCTTTGAGAAGTGTCTGTTACCTTGATCCCATCAATGACAAAACATTGTAATAAAAGACAAGGCAGAGCAATAAACCTTCATATTTTTTAAAGATAAATACATTTTTGAAAGCGGATACAGATTCATTTTCTGTAAAATCGTATGATCAGCTGTTTATTCCAACTTAAGGTTGGAGTATGTCTCAGATCATTTTCCCTTAATAGTGAGAAACATGTATTCAGCACATCTCTTTTGGAAATGTGCCCTGAGATAACTTCTGTTATGACATGGCACTAAAAACAACTGACTCCACTCGACTCTCAGTCAGTGTGATTAGGATTTGTTTTTATGTTCAGATGTGACAGGAGAGTAAAACATCTAACAGCAGTGTCAGAGTGTGGAAGGTGTTGGTTGGTGGAGTGATATCAACCACTCTCTGGATGTGCAAAGTAGATTTGCCACCTCATCTCTCGAGTTCATAACATGCACGGTGAGACGGATGAGCCCACATCTGGGGCACGTTGCACATATGCAGGCTGTGATATTTTTTTTCCCCCTCACAGCTGAGGTCGACATCAACTGGCTGAACAGGAAGAAGTTTCACTGCTAGTGTTAAAGCTTAATGATGAATTTGGCAACATGTTTTCAGTCAGGCTGACCTGTTTGTTAAACAGAGCTGCAGATGATCACCTAGTTGTGTCTCTTTTCTTTCTTTCCTCTGCCAAGGACGTTATGTTTTCGTCTGCGTTTGTTTGTCTGTCTGTTAGTTAGTCAACAGGATTAAACAGAAAGTACTAGACAGATAACTATGAAACTTGCTGGCAGGTTGTAGTACAGGTCAGGAAAGACCCCATTCAATTTTTCATTTAGTTATTCATGGATTTCGTTATTCATGGATCTTGATGATAAATCAATTAATCATGCATGTTAATTGGTCTGATTTTTAAGAATGTTTGCAATTTGGTGCAGATCCAAATAAAATCTGGATCTGGTGAATTTATGTGGTTTAAAATGGGACAATTGGCCCCTGGAGGAGCCCCTTCTAGTTTGTTTATTTATTTCATTTCTACCTTAGATATTAATGATTAATTAATTAATGATATATATATATAATTTACAGTATATATATATATATCAAGCTTGTCTTTTTCCTCTTCTTTTTGTCAGCCATGATTGATAACCTCACAAAGCATGGTGTAAAGTAGACAGTGAGTGTCTGAGCAGCTGTTTGGCTCTAGAGTGGATCACCTCAGGCTGTGATAAGAGCCAGTTGCATAGAAACATCATCTGAGTGTTTGACCTCAGAATTCAAACTAGGACCTCATGCTTCTGTTGTGTCTCTAGGTCGAAAATTCTAAATCACACAGCTCACACTCATACCTTAGTCAGTGATGAGTAATCACCTACTCACTAACTTGACATGCAAGTTTTGGTGCACAAATTTGTGAATGCAGACAGAATTTATATGTCAAGTACAGTAAGTTCAGAAACACGCTGGTCGTTTTACTGGTAAATTGAAAATTTTGTTTCTTTACATCCCTCCGCAGGTGCTGTAAGTTGCAGTGAAGGTCAGTGGTGAATAAGGAAGGACATTGTAAAAGGAGATAGCAGAGGGAGTGAGCCAGCAGTGTGACACCTCTCCCCTGGGCTTAAGGCGTCTACACGTTCCATCTGGTAAGTGGCACAACTACAGAAGCTGGAGACATTTTTAAAGACTGCATGAAAACTACATCCACGCAAATGCAATCTCTGTCTGGACAAGCATTTTGGATCTATGTCGGAAGTAATCTCCGTCTATACCAACATACCTGAAAATACATCCAGGCCATCCACTAACATTGGTCATGGGTGTGCCAGTGTAAACAGGAAGCAGACCGTCCACTCTGCAGTTGGTTGCTTAGTTACTGAAAATGTTTTGAATGAGAAATAGCAATGATAACAAATAAGAACAGGGATTTCTTTTTCTCAGAACAAAGGAACTGCTACTGACAGTAATTGTTAGCAACATTTTACATTCACTGCTGTTAGTCGAGTCATGACTGATAAAACCCAAGAAGAAATGTGGGTGTGATGTACTTGCTGTTAAACCATGCGTATGCATAGGCAACCAGTAGAGGGTACATCACAGAACTCAGGCTTTAGTACACCGCTCTCTGATATTTCTGCCACTTCCTGATTTGTGTGCTGCAAACGTAAACGAAAGATGAAGGCAGTTGAGGAGATTACCATTTGGCTAATATTAAATTCCAAACAGAAATGTGGAAATGTGGGTAATTCTAGACCTGGTCACATAGTTTTCAAAACTCTCTGCGTTTTCTGACACTGATGACATGCCCCTAATGACGTGCCCAGTGACCCTGTCAAGTACTCGTTGTCCGGACTGTTATGTGGGTATTGCATCTTGCGTACACATTGCATTAATTCCTAAGGATGTGCACAACCTGCGCACCAAATGGAGGCAGGATAAGTGAAGCAGCCATCTTGCATACATGTATGTATAGTTATCAGTGAGTATATTGCGGGACTTATCTCAGTTTCTGCCTATGCAAACTAAAAAACTCTCAAAAACTCCAGAGTTGTGTGGACGCCAAGCAAAAGTGATGCATTTTAATATGAAATTGTAGTAGTGTGGATTTACCATTAAAGACATTGCAAATAAGTGCAGGAGTGTGAGTATATGAGGTTATCAATGTTCAGTTCCCAAGACATACTGGGATATGTTGTAGTCTGCTGCAACTCCAAAGAGTGTAAGCAGTGCAGAGTATGGATGAATGAATGAAGCATAAAAGCAGTCTCATTCAGTGCACGTTGTCTTCCTAACAATCGAATACTAAGATGTCAGAATTTCATTTTTGTTGATTATGCTGTTTTTTAGGATGCAGGTTTATTTCACCCTGGCACCAACTCTAGTGGATGTTCAGTTTAGGATTGCTGTTATGTGGGTGTTCTTTATATATTTGTTACTCTGTCACTGCAGCTGAGCTTTGCTTTGCAAGAAGGCTGAGTAATACAACCTGATTATGGATATTAATTCATTCTAGCTAACTGCAATATGTTGAAAAATAACTTTTAGTCTTGTTAGTGTGAGTGTAATACATTTGACATCATTGTGTTCATGACCTTCATGACACCCACTGGCCTGGAGCCAGGAATGGGCGCTGATCTCCATGTTTAATGGTTCTTCACTTGTGGGTCAATGTGTGTTAGGAGACCAATAAGAGCGATTTCTCCTGATGTCACAGCTCTCAACTTTACATTACCACCACAGCTCAGACTTGGGAAATAAAAATCTCTCTCACCATGTTATTTTTATGTTACTCTATAGGAATTAAGCAAGAGAGCTGAAATTGTGTCTTGTGTGATGGTAGTTCTTAGGCTGGACAAACCACGGTCCTGTGCTACATATCACAATGTCTGACTGACTGACCCATTGACAGAGTGAGAGATAGAAGTGAGTTTGTGATGAACTTACACCATTGGTCAGCTAGTTGAGTTTTGTCCCTTGCTGTTTTAGCAGCCTTTTTTTTGTCTTTGAAAAAGCACCTAGTAATAAATCCAGTGACCTTTGAGACAAACCTACAACCAAACCATCAACGCTGCCTTGCAAATGAGAGGCTCCATTCTGTTTCTTATACTCCAGTCAATGAGTGGCAGAGAGGTGGAGCTGCTCAGAGTGAGGCTGGGTTCACACATCAACTGCAATCCTGAATTTATCTAGACATTACACGGAAGAGCTGTATGTGAGAACGCAATGTCAGTTGAACCACGCATCACATGTTAAATCATTTGTGAATGTAGTAGTTTGTGGTTCAATCATGATTCCATGCCACTACGTGTCATATTATTGAAACAACAACATTTTTTTCAAATTTAGATTTCTAGCTCCAGTAACTCACAGTTATCATCAATCTAAAGTTTGAATATGTCACCTAAGCACTGCAGTGAACATTGCAGTGAAATATAGAAACACTACAAACCAAAACTATGGTGTAGAAAATAGAAATAAGTAAAGTTGGCTGAAATATAACATTGAATATATGTCTCACTCTTTAGTCAGTTATGCATTGTGGGAGTAGCAACTGGTGTTTTGAAACTTTCTTTCTTTAAACAATATGACTAGTTGTCTCAGGTCTCAGGTCTCAAGGAGAAAAAACACCCAATTGACATCACTTAGGGTTTTTCTGTGACTGATTAGTTACTCATAGAGCTACTTAATGAACCTGCTATTAACAAACAAGACAAGACAACTCATAAATCCAAAAAAGCAACAAGAAACCAACATAAATATTAGATGAATAATTCCTCTGTCTAGGGCTATGTCGAGGGCCAAACAGGGTCAACATTTATTAAACAGGATAGACAGGATATTGGATAAATTGCGTAAGAAAACATATTTAGGTCGGCTACATTCTTCTTTTATGTACATGTGCCAAAGCGAGATGTTTGGCATTCTTTCTTGGCTGCCATTTCACTAATGTTTGGGGTAAGGGTCTTTACTGTGGAAATTCTCAAGATGGAGTGAAGGTGTGCATCAGTGAGACGACTCCTGTGTGGGTTTTTGTTCACCTTCATCACAGATAAAAGTGTTTGGGGGATCTTGACGGGGCACAGACAGCAGCACACAGGCACTGGGATTTCTGGATCACTGGAAAAATAATTTAATAACACCAAATACTCGACAGGTGAGGAGGGGCGCTCATAACATGTGCGTCTAGCCAGGCATTGTGCACTGTGGCTCGGCCAGTGGAGCCTGTGCACTCTGCCTGGCTCTCTGGCCAGAGCGAGATGGAGAGAGATAGACGGAAGGAAAAAGAGAGAGAGATAAGCCTGAGAGACACGGTGAACTTTAGGGGGCAGGCATACGGATCTCTGGAACGCTGGAAGGAAGTGGCCGCTAAAAGGCTCAGTGTGTAGAATTTAGTTACATCTAGTGGTGAAGTTGCATGTTGCAGCTGAATACCCCTCACCCTCTCTTTCCAAACATGACAGAGAACCTGTGGCTGCCTTCAGTTGTCCAGTTTAGACAACTGTAAAAAAAAAACATGGCCATTTCCGTAACGAGGACCCACTCCTGATGTAAATATAAACTATTTAAATATAAAGGACCCAATTCTACGATAAAAAACAACAATTTGTACAGTTTAGATGAAACACACTAGTAAAAACATCACTAGAATAATTTTATATTAAATTTCTGCCAATACATCCCTTTCACCTAAATCCTACACACTGAACCTTTAAAAGAAGAGAGATCACCACCATGATCTTACATCAAACACCTAGTCAACGGGCAGTTACAGCCATCACATCAGAGTGAATGATATACTGTATTTATTCACTGGTTCAGTAGGCCTATGCCCCTAAAAGGATGTCTTTCAACCAGTCTCAAGGGAGTGCGACATTTAGCCTCAACAACTTGGCTGTAAACAAGGTCCAGCGTATTTTCTCTTCTTGTAGTGACCTTGGCATGTGAAACAGTCTTTGAATTAAGATGATGAAGTCATCAGCAATGGTGAAAAATCAGTTAAGGAGTACTATTTGTTGATCACTGTACTTCCACAGTGTTTCCTCCAGGTAAACTGCTTCAACAGCAGTAACTCACTCAGCTAGCACTTCACTTCACTAACTGTAAACTCCACCTGAGAAAAATAAAGACACAAAGCCCCCAGTGTGTTTGAGCAGATTTCCTTACAATACAATCGTAAGTGGTTTGTATTTATATGATGCTTTTCTAGTCTTGTTGACCACTCAAAGTGCTTGACAGTACAGTTGTGCCATCCACATGTTTATCTATGTCGGCACTTTCTCTATCATACATCAATCATACATTGCCACTACAACTGTCTTTGGGGTTCAGTATCTTGCCCAGGGACACTAAAGCACCCGGAATGAGGGAGACAGGAATCAATCCGCCAAAATTATTGTTAGAGGACGACTGGCTCTACCTCCTCAGCCACATCCGCCCATAAAGAAATGTTATTTGACCGGAGATTTAATAGTCAGTACCGATACCACAATTATCTATACCAAATTCAATACAACAGCAAAAAATAAAAAATGGGGAGGGTGCTGCACACACACAAATGTGCAAGCGTGCACACACATCCCCACACTTTGTGTGCAAGCAGCAGTTTAGACTGACAAATGGTTTGAATATAGTCATTTAAAAATCATTATGCCAGACATAAGGAGACATAAAGGAACCTTAACCTGACAGTAATGCTGACAGTAAACTGTAAGCACCCAGATCTCATCATGTGCTGTCACTACATCACCCTAAACAAGATGATGTTTGCCTTTGTAAACAGTTTGTTGAATGTTACAACATCTGCCACTGTAACGTTAACACTGAAGGATAGGCTTGCCTGTGTTTGAGTCAACAAATCACTTTTGGACAGCTTTGCAGCCAAATCCAATAACAGGAAAAAAACACAACATGCCTCTGTACTGCTCCTTTGGTGACATCTAAGTGTCCATAAGCCCCGACATTCAAATCAGCTCAATACAGCGTCATTTCTTCAATGTTTTAAGCTTTCCTCTACTGGAAGTAGCGATGCTAGCAGAAGTAGCTTTGCGAGTAGCGAGGGCTTGTGTGCGGTGTGTGCACCGAACGCGAATGGGGCTCCAGAGGAGGATATCAGAGTGAGTCTGCCATCCATAGATGATGGAATGCC